GTGGTAGACAGCACAGACAATTCTTTTCTTGACCTTCTCTTTCTCTATTTCTCTGGCTCAGGATCAGCTCATTGTCCCTCATAGTTTCAACACTTCTATACGTATGACTCTCAAATCTTTGCTCAATCCCGACCTTTCCTCTGGGTTATAGCCTCAAAGGGTAAAGACCAAAAGCCTTAGTAAAGAAAAAAGCTTAAAATATTCCACCACTAACTGAAGTTACCTAAAAGTCGTATCAGAGAGAAGCTCTCACTGCTATTAAGTCCATTTTTAACTTCTAATGACCCTATAGGACAGAGTAGAACCGCCTTCATGGGCTTCGGACACTGTAGGAGTAGAAAGCCTAATCTCTTTCCCAAGGAGTGGCTGGTGGTTTCAAACTGCTGGCCTTACGGTAACCAGCCTATTACATAACCCATGATAGGGCCAAATATCTTCAAAAACACCAAGGTAAAAAGAAAGATGAGGTGGTAGTCTCTCTGGGGCAGACCCACAGCACACACATAACTGATGTGAACTTGCCTACCTAAATTTCCACGGATATTTATAAGAAGTTAGCCCACAACAGGGAAAAGTAGAATATTTAGAAGTATTGAAGATAATGTGAACAAAGCTACTGCTGTTCTGAAAAGTGCTAGGATCCTCTGCGTTTAAAATTTATATTTTATTTAGAACATGCTTTCAAAGTAGTTGCCTCACAACTAACCCTAAATGTGCTCTTATGACAGATTAGAAGAGCTGGTTTAAGCTGCTCGTGTTTAAAAGCCCCAGCACTTTCTTTTGCACACGTACTGTGGTACTTTCCCAAGGTAATCTCTTCCTGCTCTAATGTAGCTAACAAAAATAAGGCCTCACTGCCGTCAAGAGGGTTCTGACTCAGAATGATTCTATTGGACAGAATTGAACCCTGTGAGCTCCTGAGATTGTAAATTTTTGCAGGAGCAGAAAACCTCATCTTTCTCCTGTGGAACACTGGTGGTTTCAAACTACTGACCTTGCTATTAGCATCCTAATTCATAAGCCAGTACGCAACCAAGGCTCATTGGCCTTTGTACTCATGCACTGACATCAGGTTGATTCCAACTCATAGCAACGTAAGAGTCGGATTAGAACTAGTTAGTTGGTAAACTGCCTGAGGGCAGGGGCTACATCCTTATTCTCTTGAAGTCCTCTTGTTAGAGTGCCAAATGTGTGGCCCACAACAGTGGTTTCCAGGAGGCTACTGTTTCCTCTGCATCCCCAAGTTTATGAACAAGGAGTCTGTGCTTACTGCTTACTCAGACTTTCAGTTCCCTTCACTTCTGGGTGCTGCCCAGCCTGAAAATCAGCCTGCTCTGTTTATAACAGCTCTTGCTGAATGAAGTAAGACTGGAGGGATTATGGTAACATAGAAATAAATGATGTCTCCCTGAAGGGTGCTCTCTCCCTGAATTGTTGCTACACCAGAAATATTTTGGATTTTCCTCCCTGCTTTTTTGCACCCCACTCCCCTACCACCCTCACCAGAACTCTAGGAGCTCGGCAAAACAGTGAGCTCCTAATACCCCCTCTCCCCTAGCTTGCAGACCCACAGTGTGAGGGAATCTCCCCTTCCAACGCTCCCAATTCCAATCCCCATTTCACCTAGTGTGCCCCATCCCCCATCTCTCTGTGACTCTGGGAGGCCTACTTGTAGTTCACAGATCAGAGATCACTGCAGGCAGAGCAGAATTTCCATAATTCCAAGGTAGCACCTGATCCTCCCACCCCACCCTCCTCACTGAAACTCAGCACAATAGCCACCAGAGAGAAACTCCCAGGTAATGGGACTGATCTCATCCAGAATCTGACC